CTGTTTAGCCCCGCCCACTGATTCTACATCACTGCCTGTTTAGCCCCGCCCACCGATTCTACAGCGCTGCCTGTTTAGCCCCGCCCACCGATTCTACAGCGCTGCCTGTTTAGCCCCGCCCACCAATTCTACATCAATGCCTGTTTAGCCCCGCCCACAGATTCTACAGCGCTGCCTGTTTAGCCCCGCCCGTCAATTCTACATCAATGCCTGTTTAGCCCCGCCCGCCAATTCTACATCAATGCCTGTTTAGCCCCGCCCGCCAATTCTACATCAATGCCTGTTTAGCCCCGCCCACCGATTCTACATCAATGCCTGTTTAGCCCCGCCCACCGATTCTACAGCGCTGCCTGTTAACCCCGCCCGGTAATTTTGTCATGTTTAACACGACAAAATTACTAAAACTTTAGCTAAAATAAACATTTCAGTAAATTTAAAAATAATAAAATCAAATATTTTATTTCAGTTCATGTTTATTTTAAGCAATGATTTTTTTTTTTTATGGTTTTAGTTTTATTTGACGATAATAACCCTGGTTTATGGCTGCATTTAAATATGGCATGTTCTGACAAAAGCTCCTCCATCCCGCAGGATTTACACAAGCTTTAATTGGAGAAACAGGAGCCCAGTCTAATGTGTCGGAGCGGTTTGTGAGATAATTGGAAATGTTCACATCTCACACATTCTCTCTGATCAGGGTGAAGAGGATGATGAGGAAGATCAGCCTCTGAGCCTGTCGTGGCCCGAGTCCAAACGCAAGCGCCTCACGTATCTCTTGATCCTGCCCATAGTCTTCCCTCTGTGGATGACGCTGCCGGACGTCCGGAAGGCCGTGAGTTTCTGTCTGACCAGTGTTTGATGCAGATGTGAGAACTGTGATTAACCGTGAGATGATTCTCGTGCGTTTTTCTTCAGAGTTCCAAGAAGTTTTTTCCCATTACGTTCCTGGGAGCGATTTGCTGGATCGCGGGATTCTCCTACCTGATGGTGTGGTGGGCTCATCAGGTAAGATCTTTATTCAGAACATCTGGACTTGGTTATCCATTTGTTGAAGATGATTATTTATTTATTTTTTGACAAAGCCTTGTGAAAAGTGTGCTTAATGGTATCGAATGTGCACTTATATTGTACTTCAATTTTTTTTAAAACAAATAGCTTATATTAAAAAAGGCTACTTGCAGATAGTAAGCCATTTAAGTGACTTAAAGAAAGACACTTTCATGACTGTTTCTGAAACACACTTAAGTACACTTTTAAAAATCAACCTTTGTAATAATGTAAAATTAAAAGTTTCCCTTTAAAGTGCATTTTTATTCATTATGCGTTAAGAAGTACACTTATTTTAATATGTTGACTAACAGACTAAAGCACATGTAAATAACTTTATTATTTTAACTGTGTTATTCAATATTATATTTAAAGTTAATATATTTTAAATGCAATAATTTGCAACTTCATTATTGCATATGTTTAATGGTCACATGTATGCCTTGGTTTCCGTGTATTTTTTTCTTTCCATTGTGACCTAGTTTTCCTGTGTTGCCCGATTATGTCATTCTGTTCACCTGTGTCTTGTTAATTAGCTCATTCGTCCCAGTGTTTAAATACTCTTAGTTTCCTTCTAGTCGCTGTCCGTCTTGGTTTACCTTTATGTTCGGCTGATTTCTATGTGTTCCTGTGGCTTTTGCATTAAAGTCTGTTCTCCTTCTAGTGATGCAAAGCCCGATTCATTTCAGCGAACCGGTGCTTTTCGGACAGATCGGCTCATTGAACCGATTCAAAAAGCCGATTCATCGGTTCCTGACGTCATCAAGAAATAACGTCTCTACGCATTTATTTTCTAACAACTCAGGGCCATGTTGTATCAATGAAAAATTCAAATAAGTAATTTGTGTCAACGCATATTGAAACATTCAAAAATAAAGTTATTTGTGTGAAAGCATATTGCTGATTATTGCCATATAATTCACTT